TAGCTTTCTGTTGCTTTACTTTGATTGGAGAAAGTCTTGACATTTTCTTCTCTTTTCTGAGACATCTCCGCTAAATGAATGATTTTTTTTTTCTCCAAGACGGTGCTTTTGCTCTTGTCTCCTTGATAATCCTGCTGTTTCATGTTGAACAACGTGGAGGAAAATATGATAGCTCAGCTCTTTTGCCTCTTTCCTTTGAGTATATTGTCAACTCCAAGCACCTAAATCCCTCTGTCCTTTCCATTAACCTGCATCTTGGTCATTTAAGCTCCATTACCATATTATTTCAGTAGTGAACTACACAATCATGTATCATAAAATTTTCTTACTGATAAAAATATGGTGTATGGGATGTTCCCCCTTCTATAATACAAAGGAATGAGGAAGAGAAAGAAAATCTAATCAGTTTGAGTGACCAACGAACACATCGGTCACCACCTCTGTGGTGGTCATTGATCAATTTTGAGCAGGTCATGGCAATGCTAATGTTAAATGGTGTTTTAATATTGCCCTAGCCTAGTGGGTTTCAGGGTCTTTCAGTTCCTTCTTCTCTAACAAGTGTAGGTATATATAAGAAGTTCCCACTCATCCAGGTTTCTAGCCACACACACCACACCCCTTTCCTCGACTTCCATATGCCCTGGGTAATTTAATGTCGGGGTTTGGGGGTGGTTGTTCAGAAGTTGTTATCAGAGACCATTTGAACAATTCCCTAAATGGGTCTTGAGACCTATGGCACAACCATATGATGACTATCGTTCTTTTCTTTTTAATTGCGGTATGACTGACAAGCAAGAAGCAGTACATATTTAATTTAAACAATTTGATGAGTTTAAAGATAAGTATATGCCCATGAAACCATTACGTCAATCTACGCATTAAACATATCCATCACCTCTAAGTTTCCTTCTGTTCTCTTTATTATTATTATTATTATTATTTTAATCACTTATTTTTTTTTTACAAGAACAGTTAACATAAGATTTACCCTCTTAGCAAATTTTAATGAAGACTGTTCTAAAGGCATGACAGGATTGCTCTTGTAAATAAAACCACATTTCTGTACGTATGGAACATCCTATCTCCCTTTGCTTTTTTTCCTTGTTAGGGAAATTTACCCCCTTTTCTATTTGTTTTCTTGGGTTCTGTCTTTCAAAGTGTTGTTTCTCTCTAGGTAGTCCCTGAAACCTAGAACCCTGATCATCACTAACGGAATAATGAATCTCCCTTTTCTTGAAAACTATAAAGTAAGTGTGGCTGCTGGCCTAATCTTCAAATCTTTGAAGGTTGTGCTTCAAATCTGTGAAGCATAAATATTTGAATTTCATTTTCCTTGTGGATTAAGGGGAAAAATATAAAAATTACATTTTTGTACTTAAAACAATCTAAATACCCATGCTGAGGAGAGAAAAATTCTCTAATGGCCTTAATATAAAGGAAACTATTTTGGATTTCTTGCTAAGTCGAAATGACTGTACCTAAACTTTGTTTAACCCAAAAGCCTCATTTATGGCCTGCCAAGTTTTGTAAATGAGTAGCTTAAAGGAAAACCATCTTGTCCTTAAGGTGTTGATTAATGCTCCTGTTCTTTGTGTTCCTTGGTCTTAAAACTCGTGACTCCTACCTATATGTTAATTTACAATTTTTTGTGCCTTTAAGAGGTATAAAAAAGTATATACTCCGTAAAAACTGTTCATTCTCTGGAACACTTGCTTCCCTGTTAAGACCGTGTTTCCTAGGGAGTTGTCCTAACTTGGACTCAAATAAAACTCTCTTTGTTTCTTTTAGAGATAGATTCTAGAAGGTTTGTTCATTTTGCATTGACAATATTGTAGGGGAGGAGACAAAATTTTTCCCTCTACTCTTCTGGGTTTTCTAATGAGGCTCTGCAAATCAGACTGATAAAAGACCAATTATGGCCAGAAGAACAGAAGTTCACTGACACTGTACCTAGATGTGGGAGAACTCAGTGATGCATCACTCAAAGGGGATAGTTTAACCTTGAGTTTACATAGCATCTTTTTTTAAAAAATTTTATTTATTTATTTGACAGACAGAGATCACAAGTAGATAGAGAGGCAGGCAGAGAGAGAGAGGAGGAAACAGGCTCCCCGCCAAGCAGAGAGCCCGAAGTGGGGCTCGATCCCAGGACCCTGAGATCATGACCTGAGCTGAAGGCAGAGGCTCTAACCCATTGAGCCACCCAGGTGCCCCACGTTTACATAGCATCTTAACAAAAGAATGGTAAATTTTTAGAGAGATGATAAAAACAAAAAATTAAATTTCTAGGATGCCAAATTGTGGGAAGGTAAATATTGGGGGAGCCAAGGGAGGACAAGAACTAGTACACAGAGGCACCTGGGTGGCTCAGTCAGTTAAGTGTCTGCCTTCAGCTCAGGTCATGATCCCAGGGTCCTGAGATGGAGCCCCACATTGAACTCTTTGCTCAGCAGGGAGCCTGTTTCTTCCTCTCCCTCTGCCTACCACTGCCCCTGCCTATGTGTGCACATGTGCATTCTCTCTCTCTCTACCAAATAAATAAATAAAATCTTAAAAAAAATCCAACTAGTTCATAAAATTTGTTATGTAGATTCCTGTACAGACTCTGGGCAGATAAGAGTCTAGAGTTGTCTCTGATGATTGACTTGTATCCTTCTTGATAGAGAGGAGTGATAATGTGATATAATAAGAAACATAATACTTGGCTCATGATTCCCCAAACCCTTGTAATTTCCTAGTTATTAGAGCAAAGGAAACATCATTTATTATAATATTTGGTCTTTTGTCCTCAAATAGCTCCAGAGTGATTAAGGTAAAAATGTCTTTTCTTACAAGCCCCTTCAATGACAACTGAATTTATTTTAATAAGGTGACTTTTGGAAAGTTCCTAGATAACAACAGGATGGGGACTGATTGCCCACAGGAACCAACCTTGTGACTAGAGGGTTGGAAATTTCAGCCCCATCTCCTGACCTAGAGTGAGTAGAGAGGAGATGGGGGTTCAACCAATTATAGATAGCCAATGATTTCCTCAATGATGCCTATGTAATAAAGCCTCTATAAAAATCCTAAATGAGGAGGTTCAGAGCTTCCGTGTTGGTAAGTACATGGAGGTGCTAAAAGAGTGGCTTACCTGGACAGGACATCAGAGTTCAACCCCTCCTCACATAACTTGCCTCATGGTTCTCTTCCACTGGGTTATTCCTGAGATACAACCTTTTCGAATAAACTAATAATCTAGCAAGTAAACTATTTTTCTGAGTTCTGTGAGCCATATTAGCAAAAGATCTAACCTAAGGAGGGATTGTGGGAAACTTCAATGTGTAGCTTGTTGGTCAGAAGTCCAGGTGACAACCTGGACTTGTGATTAATGTTTGAAGAAGGGCAGTCCTGTGGGACCAACCCTTTAATCTGTGGGATCTGAAGCTATCTCCAGGTAATTCCAGAATTGAGTTAAATTGTAGGACACCCAGCTGGTGTTTGAGAATGGCTCAATGGGAAAACTTCTCACAGATCTGGTGTCAGAGTGTTCTGAAATTAGAGTTTAAGAGCAAAAATGAAAACTAAGTGTGTTTTCTTTTCAAGAGGAGAGGGGGGAAACTTTTATAAATTTATGTCCTGCTTTTAGATACATGAGGGAGAACAGAGAGCTATTCTTATATTTCTCATTTCCCTTTGGCTCAAAATAATCCTTATGCCAATGTGGAATATTTGGGGGTGGCCTATTTTTCTACCCTCCAATACCTTGCCACATGATATTTCAAGGTTCATTAGAACCCGTGGATTCTATTAATTCAGAGCTCTGAATTTGGTATACTCAGATCTCAGTATTATAAATACTGAGTTTTTGGTATACTCAGATCTCAGTATTATAAATGTTTTTAAAAAGTCTATTCCAGCTTTTAGACTAGTGGCTTTATAAAAGATAATATTCTTGCACTGTTAGATGGACCCAAACATTACCTGTGCTTGAGTGAAGCTTGCTAGAGGCTGGAATTAAAAGACAGTTTTACTAATTATATGCTAATATTCATCATTCCAGGAAAGCTGTGCCTTCTCACTTAACACAGTTTGGTTTCAGATCAGCTTAAACTTATCAGAAAGGTCTGTACTCCAGTTACAGAAACTTAAACCATGATTCACACGCAAAATATCAGAATTCTGGGTTTTCAAAAATGGTGATTTAATTGGGTGCCCCCATGGGGTGTCTCTCCATCCATTGAGGACTCCCAATATGGGGCAGTAATTGGGTGGAAGCCAGTAGTACAGGCAGTGAAAGAATCCACATGAGACAGAACAAAGGAGATAAAAGTTTATCGAATACACTGCAAGGGAGGTATAGGCAGGACACCTGAGGAGAAGCGGTGGGTGGAGGCTGGTTTTTTAAAGGGGAAGAGGAGGTAGGGTGATATATGGAAAGTTCCATTTTTGGGGAACTGTGCCTAGTTGGAAGTAGCCCATTGGTCAGTTGGGGCCTGTGGGTATTTTGAGGTAGGTCACTTGATGGACTTGTCTGTACTCAGCCAGTTGGTCACTGAGGCCCTTTCTGCATTCCATTGTGCAAGCCTGTTGGCCTACAAGTGGCCTCCACCAAGTAGTTCTGCAGTGTATCAAGACCTGTAATGTCACTGAACTGATAGCAATTGAGCAGTGGGAAATACCTGTGTCTGAAATTTCTTTTTGAATAATCCACCTGTTTGATTTGTGTTTGAATAGCTGCATTTCCTTAAATAACAAAGTGAAGACAGTGAAGTATGATCTCGATTCTCTAGGATCTCCACTGATTTGGTTTCTTAAAGCCCTTCCACTTCAAAAAGTCTTGAGTTTAGAAGACTGTAGACTATGGCGTTGGACCAGGCAGCACACCTAGTCTCCTTCCAATCTCTCCTTCCCCCACTCTCTGTGACTTGGGGCAAGCTACTTGACTTCTTTAGGCCCCTTTCTTTGCCTATAAAATCAGATGATTTACCTTGAAGAAATGTTATTAGGTTGAATGTGTGTATAGTAACTGGCATGTTCTCACTCAATAATTTGAGATGACCATAACTGTATCTTAGAGCATTCCCAGAAAATACCTTCTAGGTTTTCTACAATCTAGCCATCTGACAGCTTGCAGACAAATTATACATACACTCTTTGCTGCAACTTCTTTCAGAATATGCCATTCAGTGGTAAGCCCAGAATGGGAGCATAAACTATTTATCCTGTAGGTTCAAGAAAGTCGTGGTATAGTAGAGCAGAGGGCCATGAGAATGGCAGAAGTTCCAGGGAAAAAACTCATCTTCAGCCTAAGGAGTTAGAGCATCAGAGCTTGGTCTGAAAATACAGGGCCTTTTGGGAAGGGGCAGTTCTGAAGTCAGCAGGATATGCACTGACCTTACCTTTTCCAAAGACTTGAAGAAAACTTAAGAAGGAAAAAAAAATTCGGTGTCGCTTTAACCTCAGGGCTATTCTGGAATGCCTGAAATATAAGGAGGGGAAATGTCGAAGACAGAGACATGCCATCTGGGGTTGAGGGATCTGTACAGTCAACACCTGGAGCCTAAGAAGGCCTCAGAAAGCTGGAGTGGAACCACACGGTGGCAGACAAAGTCAAGTAATGGCCTAGGATTCGTCAGTCAACAGCACAGGCAAATAAAGAGAATAGTGAGGCACCCCAGATGATTCCCTGTATAATTTATGAAATTATGTTGGTCTTGGACTGATATCCAAGTGTCATTCCCCCAGTTTACCAGGGACTGGAGCAGTGGGCTCCTGTTTGAAATTTTTTTAGTGCTTCTCTTACCTGGTGTCACTTGGAGAAGATGGGTTTCATCATCAGCTGGCACCAGACAAATGTACAAAAACAGATAAGCCTGTCAGAGCCACTTCCTGTATGATGCAATATATTTGACATGCAAATGTCACAAACTGTGCAAAATGAATGGCGCAATGGCAGCTTGAACACCTGATTTCACTGTGACCCGAATAAATGTTGAAATTTAAAGACTATATATTGCTTATTCTCTTCCACAGCTTTTGTATTTAGTTTATTTTCCTACGAAGTCATAGGAGATGCTTACTAAAAATACAGGTTATCCAACTCTTCTCCTGGGTGATTAGGCCTTACTAATTGACATATGAAAACAATTTATACGTTTTAAGTGCTTTACTACAAACTAACATTTGTGTTGCAACTGAGATAGGCCCTACAAGCAGCACTAATACCAGGCACGAGGAACCCAGTGAAAGGGCACCAGAAAAACACCATCATCCACTTTCACACTCTGTTCAAAGACTTAAAATTGCATTCAGTCATGTGAGGTCTTAACATGGGAAGAAGGAGACAGAGAATGTCCCTTTTCCCTCTGTTCCAGGGTAGAATGGCTCATCATTCTCTTCATCTTTTGTTGACTGATGTATCAAAAATCTCATTGGCATTTCTGCCATGGGTTCATTAAACCTCTATTTAGTCCAGACTTGGGGCACTTGATTATCACAGTACCCCTTCCTAAAGAGGCCAATGGAGAGGTGTATGTTTTCATGTCTCCAGGGAGATCTAAGCCAGAACAAGTAGAAACTCAGTCTCCATTGTCATCAGGATCCACCGCTTGGAACAAAGAGGCTCCTAATGCGTTCAGCTTGACCAAGATTCCTTTTAAGCCTATGGCACCCCAAACTAGGTTCAGGAGACTAGAAAAATAACACCCCCTCACTTCTTATCTCCGCCAGTCACCTGCCATAGAAACATCGTTGTCCTGTATCTTGTAGTGCCGGTGTCCCTTGTGGGTGGATGTGTGGGCCTGTTTGGGTCACACTTAAGTTTTCAGGGCTTAAAAACTTCTCAGACTGTAGTGTGCTCAACAATATGTTAGGAGTTGGGTGCCTGGGTGGCTCAGTGGGTTAAGCCTCTGCCTTCAGCTCAGGTCATGATCTCAGGGTCCTGGGATCGAGGCCTGCATCAGGCTCTCTGCTCAGCAGGGAGCCTGCTTCCTCCTCCCCCTCTGCCTGCCTCTCTGCCTACTTGTGATCTCTCTCTCTGTGTCAAATAAATATAAATAAAATCTTTAACCCCCACCCCCCAAAAAACAATATATTAGGAGAGAGTTGTGTAATACGCACTCCTGAGACTCCCACCAGATGTTCACTTCCTAGGTAGGAAGGGGCCTGAGTAAAATTTGTGTTTTTAAAAAAGTGGCCCAGGTAATTTGGATGCACGGTATCAATGGATCTCACATAGAGAAATACAGGCCTGAATGCCCATGGGTAAGTCTAAGTAAAAAAAACCACATGAGAGTTTTAGGACATAATTCAGAAGGCTGAGTAGGAAAGATTAGAATTCCAAAGATTTTGAAAGCTACTGCAGTATGGTTCTCAAAATTTTTGCTTGAAACCAACTGTAGGAAAAGGACACTCTCCCCATCATCATAACGTATATATAAAAAAAACACAGAAATATACATCGCATTCTTATGAGACACACATTGCATCGTTTTTCTATTCTATTTTCAGCAGTTGCCCCCAGCACGGAATTTTGTCTACATAGCTTTGTCTGGTTGTCTTTCCAACTTCACATGGCCTGGCTGTTTGAGTCCTTTTCAGGCTTTACCAAGGATCCTTATGGAATGGACAACACCCTTTTCCATTTCAATGTATGTTCTGAGATGGGCCCCTCATGCTTTCCAGTGAGTACCCATTGGCAGTTTTGGGGCTTTCTCGTTCTCAGGGGTGTGAGACACCCCCTGTTTCCCTTGGCTTTCTCCTGTACAGATCCTGCGACTGCACAGCTCTTACAAACATGGGTGTTTATCTTCACCTATTGTGTTTTCTGGTCTGTGGAGAGATGCCATTTGGTTGACTGGTAAATGTTATCTGTGAATTTTTGGTTTTCTGTCTTTATGTGGGAATTTGAAGGATTACATTAATTAATTGGGATTAAAAAACTGTGCCACTGCCGCTTCACCTTGATTATCTTTACAATGTCATACGATCTGTGTATCTTTGAGCAATGTATTTTGAATAGTTTTGGCTTTTCCTTTGGAAGATATATAAATAAGCATGTTCTTGCCATACCTTACTCTTTGGCCACACTTTATGTTTCTGAGTTATTTATGTCTTATAACTGCTTATTCATTCATTTTTGCTGCTATAGTTATTATATGGCTATTTCATAATTTATTTATCCATTCTCCTGTCAATAACTTTCCCCACTTTCTGCTAATTACTAATGAGGCTTTGGTGAATATTCTGTACTTGTCTTCTAATGCACATTTGTAAGATTTCTGAGGAAATACACCCGGGTAGATATGAACTGAATGACAGATGAAGTTGAGCATCTTTTTATGTGTTTACCCACCAGTCAGTTTCTTCTTGTGTGAAATGCCTGTTCACGACCTTTGCACATTTTTCTATGGCATTGCTTGATTTTTTTCTTATTGTTATAGAAGAGTTCTTTATATAGTCTGGATTTTAATAATTTCCTGGTTATATATTCTATGTATGTTGTTTTTCTGGTTTGTGCATTGCTGTTTTTTACTCTCTCCTTGTCTTTTCAAAGAACACAATTCTTAATTTCTGTGTCGTTTTATCAACCTTTTCTTTATGAATTTTGCTTTTTATGTCTTGTTTATGAAATCCTTTCCTACCTTTAGATTATAAAGATGTTCTACATTTTCTTCAAAACATTTTCAAACTTGGCTTTTTCATTGATACATATGGAAGTGGTTTTTGTGTATAATTTGAGGTATGGATTTAAATTTGTATTTTTTACACAAGTAACCGTACCAATGCCATTTCTTAAATATTTCCTTCTTTCCGTATTGATCGGCGTTGCCAAGCATTTTCATACATGCATGATCTGTTTATGGAGTTCCCATTTTCTTTAACTGAGCTATTTGTCTATCTCTGCTCCAGTGGATCATGCTATTTTAACTAATAGAGCTTTAAAATACATTTGGATGGCTGATAGGGCAAATCCCCCCTATCCCCAGCCCCATTTTTGCTGCCTCTCACCTTAACACCTCAAGAATTCATCAGTAATGCCTCTATTGCCCTCTCCCACAAGCCAAATTGGAACAAAAAAGGTCCCAGGTTGCAGAACTAGGTTTCTGAACTCATGTGGAACTCAGCCCAGCCTCACATGTTGATAGTCTTAAGCAGAAACTAGTCTCTTCTATGCGCATGGAAATGTTAATACTATTATCTTGTCTTTGTGGATTTTTCCTATGAGTAAAATCATCTTCGTAAATAATTGTTAATTGATTGTTGAGAAATGTCTATGAAAGTTTCAGGGACTGGATTAATCTCTACCAAATTTGTAGCTAGAAAATTAAAGCAAAGAAAAGTTAGAGAAAGTTTCTTAGGTAAGAGAGTTAGGAGGCTGAAGGACCCAAGGTGCCTGATCTCAGGTCATCTCTTCCTTGTTACTGGATAATGTTGAGAGAATGTCCCCATATATTGTAAACATTAGAATGCAAATTACTTTTAGGAATCTGTCACCAGCTTTCTAGGGAGAGAGCTGTCTTTGATAGGACTCAAGTTTTGGTTAGGACTAGAGGGGTTGCAACCATATTTTCTTTATCTAAAATACATCCAAAGTGAAAGTGAAAGTCATTGAAAGTCAGACCTTCTTTTCTCTCATTCATCAGCTACTACTCATTACCTATCTAGGTCCAGAACTTTAGTGAAAGTGAGATGGGAGAGGTAATGGAGCAAGTCAAAGGGGATAAAAATGGCAAAGATCTTTGGGGAAATCTATATTCCTGGAAACTTCTATTCCTTATAGATGCCATTCTCCTCAAGTTCTTCCTTTTTTCTTTTGGAGGTTTTTACACCGCTCTATTACTGTTGATGATAATGCCAATTATATAATGCAGTAATAAATGTCCAGTTCACAGCAGGCTAGATGAGGAGAGGCCAGCTATATTTTATCCTAAGTGTTTGCATACACACCCATGTATCAAAAGTTATATAATCACCAGAGAGATTATTTTGTTTTGAGAACTTAAGACTTATATTGCTAAGCCAGATTTGCCATTGAAACTACTGCTCTTTATGCTTAGCAAAGTAAGTCAATCGGAGAAAGACAACTATCATATGATCTCCCTGATATGAGGGAGAGGAGATGCAACATGGGGGTTAAGGGGGTAGGAGAAGAGTAAATGAAACAAGATGGGATTGGGAGGGAGACAAACCATAAGTGACTCTTAATCTCACAAAACAAACTGAGGGTTGATGGGGGGAGGGAGGTTGGGAGGGAGGGTGGGGTTATGGACATTGGGGAGGGTATGTGCTATGGTGAGTGCTGTGAAGTGTGTAAACCTGGCGATTCACAGACCTGTACCCCTGGGGATAAAAATATATGTTTATAAAAAATAAAATTAAAAAAAAAAAGTCAGTTAAAAAAAAAAAAGTCTTGTACTATCCAAAAAAAACAAAAAAAAAAAACAAAAAAAACCCTATTGCTCTTTAAATTATTAAGAAAATGTTTGTCTTGTCCTGTCTTAAGATATCCACTAGATGTTGCTAAAGGGCTGTGGAAAAAGCAATCATCATTTTCATCCAAGGCTTCAGTTACGGAATTAAAACTCAAAGAAGCCGTAGAGCTATCAGAAATAGTAAGGATAGAACTTAAACACAGAAACAGAAAGTATATCTTCAAAAGATAGGAAGTAAGTAAGACTGACTAGGGAAGACTGAACTTAAAGGTCACATTGGCATAGTTGAAATTTGTGCATTAGCTTTGTGACATTGTGACATCAAAAAAATTACTTTCTTTTGGTAAAAGTATTATGTTAACATTTAAGCAATTAGGACAATGTAAAAAATTATAATTGG